GCTATTTTTTGGTTGCAGCCGTCATTGTTGTTTGGCGGGTCCGGGCTGGGGATTCGAACCCGCCACCTTAGGTGTATGTGGCTGGTGCCTTAGCCCATTGAGCTATAGGCGCCAAGCCGAGCCTCCTCCACTTCTAATCTCACACTTCACTGTATCTGAAGTGGCCCCCGAGCCTCACCTTTCAGAGCCTCCTGAATGTACCTCTCCACGTAGTATTTTCGGAGCTGATCGTTCTCCGGAGCCTGGTCATCGATGCCGTTGGCGGTGATGTACACGTCCACGTCGCCGTAGTGCTTGCGGACCCAGCGCAGCAGCTTGCGCTCGCCCCAGGGGATCACGGCCAGGCGGCTTGGCGAGCTCAGGCGGGTGATGTCCTGCAGAAACTGGATGTCCCTGTCCAGGTCGTAGCGGCTGCCGTTCTGCTGCTCATGCATCACGAACCTGGTGGTGAAGTGGTTCAGGGCGTAGAAATCGGCGGCGCCCCGGACCAGCCTGCGCTCGTCCTGGGTGAAGTGAGGCAGCGCAGAGCTGGAGAGCCCGCGCCTGTTCTTGGAGGCGATGTACTCCCGCATGGCCCGCGGGTAGTCCCCGGTCTTGAGCGGTTCTGCGAACCAGGCGATCTCGAACTGGAGGAAGCGCTCGGCCGCCCCCCAGTGCGACTCTGCGTAGGGGTTGGCGGGTTCCGCCCAGTCCGAGTGCAGGGATAGCGACACGGCCCCGCGCTGGGACAGCCTGTACCGCTGGTCGTACAGGTGCCAGACGAGCGCATGGGCGATGAGCAGGTTGTGGGCTGCCCGGTAGGTGTCGTTGCCAGTGCGGTTGTAGATGTCGCTCAGCCGGTTGGGCTCGTTGATGGTGATCCAGAGCTTCACCAAGTCCCCCAGCTCCTGGAAGCACAGCCCCGCGTAGGCCTGGAAAGCCTGGGCGATGGACGGGTTCAGCCAGCCCCCGCCGTGCAGCAGCGGCGCGGGGAGGCCCAGGTTGGCGTGGGTCGGATAGTACAACGTGACCATCGGTGAGATATTGAGCTTCAGCCCCTCGCTGATCACACACCTGTAGTACCGCAGAGCTTGTCGGTTGACGGCAGACAGGTTGCCGGTGGGAAGGACGGAAGCCCAGTCCAGAGCAAAGCGATAGTGTGTGACTTTCATTCTTGCCAACATCTCAAGCTTTTTTTTGATGCTGATAAAATCTGTGCATTGAGCCGGCCGAGTTTTCAGTTTCACCCCTTCCACCCGGTGCAACAGTCTGTTGCCGGTGGCATTCCACACGTACAGGTGGGGGTCACTGAACTGTGGGGAGGAGGCCACAGACTCGGGCTGTGAAAACAAGCACATTCCCGTGAAGCTGGCGCTGGCAGACAGGGGATCTCTGCACCCCTCCGCTGCTGGGAAGAGGGCCCATCTTACTCAACCTCTCATGAAAGAGAAAATAAATGATGTGTCTGTCCTTCATAAGGACCTGTGTGTCCCGCCTGTTCTGTGGTGAGGTCAGAGAAAAGGCCTGATGGAACTCCCTCCCTTCTAGCCCTTGAAACTTCCCAGGGAGACTAGAAAATACAGGGAGGGAGCCACACCCAGGGCTTGGCTTAGAAAACAAGTTGTTTGAGAAAACTGAGAAGCTATTTCCAGTTCATTTGATGTAAAAACCCAGGTTATATGGTGGGATTTCACATGATTCTGTTCAAATGCATCAGGATATTGCCTTGATACTCTCAGTTAACACCAGTTATAAAGGATGTACGGTAAACCCTGCCATAAATGGAATACCAGGTCTAAATTCCAATCCATACAGGATTTCACTGAGATCAGCTCTTGGGGTTAGAGACTTGTTGGCCTCAGCCACAATTCCTAAGAGAGGCCAGTATGTGGCAGCCAATGACCTCTGCATTTGCTCAATGCAACCCTCCAACTCCTGTCTGAAAAGTCCAAGTGGTCACATTTGCATCCATTATGCCTCTTCCACCCAAGCGCCTGCGAGAGTATAGCACTCGTTCATCCAACTGGAGAAGGCATTTGGGTTATGAGTAGAAAGGACAGTGAAACACTCCCAGAAATTCCCAAGGTTGACTCTTGGCCCTGATAGTGTCTCATTTTGTGCTTCTCCGCTGAAGAGACTCCTACTCATGCCCCTTTGAAATGCAGGCTCAGTAACTATATAGTGATGGAGCAATCCCACCTACCTCACAGGTGTGTCTCTGGGAAGGGCTCTCACAACTGGAGAGCACTATACAAATATAACATAGCCATGACTTGGATTGTTTTCCCAGGATACAATAATTGCTAGGCCATTGAGTCTAAACTACAAGTCCTTCAGCTTAATAAAAACATTTCCAAATTCAAGATTACTAAGGGGGTGTCGCCTGTGGCTTGGTGGTAGAGTGCTGGCCACAAAACACCTAGCTTGGCCGGTTCGAACCCAACCTTAGCCAACTAAACAACGACAACTGCAACAACAACAAAAATAGTTGGGTGTTGTGGCAGGCACCTGTAGTCCCAGCTACTTGGGAGACTGAGGCAAGAGAATCACTTAAGCCCAAGAGTTTG